ACTGAAGCTTAAATCACGCTATCAACATTCCGAATCATAAACAGCATATATAGAACATCTCCGAACTATCACACGGAGTGTTGGCCGCTCCCCGGGCAGAACACCTTGCCCGGCGGGAGATCTCCCCTTTTCCTTCCTCAACGGCCACAGTAGTGACCACCCGACGTGATCTGAACATGCAACCAACAACCTTCGGAAACTACAACTTTCAAGCCTTCGTCATTATCCTCAAGAACCCCTACCATTCACTACTGAGAATCGTCTTCTGCAGTCTTTAGTTCCTGCAAGCCAGTCCAACTTGTCTTCATCTCGACTCACCGCAGATTTATAAGACAGACTTCTGGCACTTGCTCCGGCACATCGTTCTCACCGGCATCACTTGCCAGTGCGTAGTACGGCATGCATTACACATCGGCATATCATTCGCACCGGTGTCACTTGCCCTTACGCACACAGCATGCATTCCCCACCGGCATTAAAAGGACACACCGGCAATCGGACTGCACTATCGACCTCCGGTCTGAGCAGGGGGTGATGTGATCTCCGAACTATCACACAGAGTGTTGGTTGCTCTCCCCGGGCATAACACCTTGCCCGGTGGGAGATCTCCTCTTTTCCTTCCACGGCCACAGACGACTGCGGACAGACTAAATAGTCTACAAAGGACTGTCTGCTTAATGGCAACTGGAGCTATGCGATCATCGCCTGGAGCGGCTCTTAATGCACTTTTATGCCTAACGCCGCTTGATCTCTATCTAGACAAGGAGGCGAGGACTAGTTTGTATAGGATTAACGCCCAGGGCGGTCTGAGCTTGCTCTCCTACAGATTGAGATCCATGCTCGACTTAATCGATTAAGGAATCAGCGGTCTTATGTATGATCTCAGATAGCATGCGTCCACTACACACTTTTGATAAAAATTATGTAGTGGAATTATCCTCCAGAGAAGACTGGCTGAATGGCCAGGTTATCTGTGAGGTCGGTAGCCTCATATGGTATAACGATGGGTCTAAAATGGGCGTCGACGTAGGCTTTGGAATTTACGGGGAACACCCCAAATTCAAACTTAGTATGAATTTGGGTAGATACACCACTATCTTCCAGGCAGAAATTTTTGCCATACTTCGGTGTGCGGAAATCAATCTGCAAAACACTACGTCAACCATAAAATTTACATAAACTCTGATAGTTAAGCAGCACTGCTAGCGCTGAGATCAAACTCAGTGAACTTGAAGCTAGTTGGAGACTGCGTGAACCGTTTAAACGCCCTGAGGTGTAAGAACAGAGTCGTTTTAAGATGGGTTCCGTGTCACGAGGGTATTGTAGGCAACGAATTTGCCGACAAACTTGCACGGGAGTTCTCAAAGTGCACGCGATTTGGACCAGAGCCATTTTGTGGAATCTCAAGAAGCCTAGCCCGATTGACCCTTAAAACTCTTTACCACAATAAATCACTTAAGATCTGGTCTGACACACTAGGCTTAAAACATTCTAAAACCTTAATCCGGGCTTTTGATCCTAAATTCGCTTCAGAAGCCCTGGGATTAAGTAAAAATATATAATATTTAATAATATAATATATTTATGAAACAAGCATTTTTGTAAAACGTAATATTAACATGTATAAGTTCGTGGAAAGTCAACGTCGCTCAGATAAGCTTCATTTAATACCAAGTAGAACTGTTTTATTACAGAAGAGTATATATGCAATGGCACCAAAAGTATATAACAAAATACCTAAATACATTAGAGATTGTGACAACATTAATATTTATTATTTATTGAGGTATACCTGAAATAAATATTATATTAATATTTATTTCAGGTATACCTCAATCTCTAAAAACTAAATTGTACAACAGTTTTGAGTGATGACTTACGGATCTGAGACGTGTCTTCATGCTGGCCGTATGAATCAATCAATACTAGATTCTTGGTGATAGACTAGAAATGAATTTAAAGAGTGACGCATAGGATTAGTAAGCTGAAGTGGCAATGCGGCCATATGTGAAGAACTGATAACCGATGGGGATTTTTAGAAATGTTCTGAGTGGCAGCCTCGTACCGGTGTAGTTGGGCACCCCCACTAGATGGAGTGACGATCTGGTAAGATATGAAGGAAGTGATGGATGCAGGTGGCTCAGGATTTTTGGATTATTTGAGGGAGGCCTATGTTCAGTTTGTGTTGGATGCCTACTGGTGAGACATAGAGAACCTACCTTGTATTTTACTATGATATATATTGAGATCTGTAAAATAACCTATGTTCACAAAATAAACTCGTTTGATTTGATTTGAAAAATAAATTGCGCATTCTGGCAAGAGCCCTAACTGGACACTGTTGTCTTAAAAAGCACATGTCCATCCTGGGACTAAGCAACTCAAGGATGTGTCGGTTCTGTTCCATAACGAAGTAACGCCTCTGCACATCCTAACTGATTGCGGACCCTTAATGCGCAAACGTAACACTCATCTGGGAAACTATGTACTCTGCCCAGAAAAAGTGAAATTGCTCACGGCTTAGCAACTCCTTCTATTCATTGAAGACATAGGGCTTAGCAGTGAACTATAGCCATAGCAGCGATCACAATAGATCTCCTAGCTCGCAGTGATACTGGTCTCTTTCCCTAAACCTGCATAGCTGTTTGCATATAATAAAAAAAATCTGGATATTTTTCAATTATTGCTAAATTTAGCTTTCAAATGTCAACTCTTACTTTCTTTTAACATTCGAGCGTCTGTTAACATTCAATGTATACAGCGCGCGGCTATCTTTTTAATTATTAAGTTATGAGTTAAAAAGCTTTAGAATCTCAGCTAAATAAAGAATGGTTGCACGTCTCATAACTTCATAACTTATCAATTTCTTCGTTTTTTATGTAGCGGTCGTTGTAAGGCGTTGTTTTATATATAAATGGAATATAAAAATATAAAATGTAAAACGATGAAAAAGTTACTACCAAATATTATATACTAAATTTTAATTTATAGATTTTATTTATTTATATTAACTTATATATCTAACATATCCAACACATCTCCAGATAATAATCTTTTTCTTTTTACATGGCAATTTTCGCAAACTTTATACAAAAAGATCAGAATCAGCTTCTTCTTTCTTTTATGGTGGTGAATAAGTATTTTCGACAGGAGACGCGGTAAGGCTGCACGCTTATACAACATTGAGCCAGTCGCGATTGAATTATGTTATTTATAATGGAATGAAAGATCAACACGTTTGTTCAACTCGAGTGTTTATTTAATACTGGCTTACTTTCTAATACATCGAATATCACCTACAAGTACATAGGTTACTTCACCTTTGGGGGCAAAGAAAAAAAAAGAGAAAAAAAAAGAATATTCTTAACTACTAAATGGCTTAGTCCTATTCTTATGAACAATGTCAATTTTACCATTTATATCAATTTTCACATTAACTTCTAAATCTTCTACAACTTTATAAGGTCCATCAAAAACACAATCCAATTTACGAGCACATTCATTTTTAAGTAAAACAAGATCATTCTTATTATAAAATACAGGATTACATGATTCATCATATTTATCTTTCCTTTTTTCCTTACAATTATTTCTAGCATCTCTTAAGACTACTTGCAATTTATATTTTAAATCTAAACAATAATTATCAGGATTATAAAGTGGTTCAACATCATAATTCGAATTATTTGGCAAAGTTCAAAAGGAATGTACTTAGTTTGAGTGTTCACGCAATTATTATAACTAAAACACCAAAATGGAACCCAACGGGACCATGTAAAATTCGAATTAGTACAGTAACTTCTTAGAAACGCACCTAAATGTTTATGAGCTCTCTCAAGAGAACCGATTGATTGGTGGTGGTATGCAGTTGACGATAACTTATCGATTTATAATAACTTACATACCTGTTCCATAACCCGAGACATGAATTCTGTCCCCCTATCTGTAGCTATATATTTCGGAATACCGAATCTTAAAATAAAGTTACTTACAAAAGCTTCTGCGACTGTAACAGCTTCTTTATTAGGCAATGGATACGCCTCTATATATTTTGTTAACTCGCATTGGAGAGTTAAAATATAACAATTTCCATTCTCATCCTTATCCAATGGTCCAACTAAATCGAGGAAAACTTTCTCGAACGCAGTCGACGCAGTGGAGGTTAAAGTCATAGGTTGTTTGGTATATTTACCTTGTTTCATTTTCTGACATAATGCGCATTTACTTATATATTTACGGATATCCGAATCTAGTCCTGGCCAATAGTATTTTCTCCTAATATTATTCGTCATTCTAGTTATTCCAGCATATCCACTAGTGGGTAATAAATGATAGTCATTTAAAATAAATTGTTTCTCGTTTTCATCATATATTCTCTCTATTCCTTTCAGTACACATATTCGGGGTCCGGAACATTCACTCAACGATTTAACTTCACTACATATTCCTTTTATAAACACAGTATACTTTCCATCTTTTACTATCCATAATTCTTTTACTTTTATTTTTTTGCAAAACTCTTTAAGTTTAATTGCAAATTCGGTTCGCGATAAATGCAACTTAAAACCTAAATTAACACACACTAACATTTTATTTGGTACATACATAAAACATTCTTCTTCTATCACTTTATTATTTCCTTTCTTAAATTTTCCTATTACTTTCCTGTCAGTCAACCTCAATTCTACGGAATCACATGGCTGTCTTAATAGTTCCACGACGCGTGGTTGATCAGGCCACTCATCAGGGTACTTATTAAGCGCAGTCTGTTCTACCGTACTATTCTGCTCCATCTTTTTCTTTTGTTGTCTCGTTACAACTGCCAAAACCTCCTCATTCATACATTTCAGTTCAATTGATGTTATACACACTCTGGATAATGCATCTGCGATTACATTATCCTTACCCTTCACATACACAAACTTAAAATCGTACTCTTCAAGAATTAAACGATGTTTAATTAACATACTAGATGGATCCTTCATTCCAAATAAATAAATCTAAGGTTTGTGGTCGGTCATGATAGTAAAAGTTCTGCCAAATAGATAGGGTCTAAAATATTTAACTGCCCACACTATTGCTGTTAATTCTTTTTCTATTACGGGATAGTTCTTTTCAGCTTTATTTAATGGTCTACTAGCATAAGCTATAGGTTTTCTATTTTTATTACACAGCACAGCTCCTACAGCCAAGTCTGAGGCGTCTGTGTGCAATACAAATTCATTAGATTGACCAAAATCTGGGTATTCTAATATTGGTGGAGAAATTAAAGCGTTTTTTAAGAAATTAAATGCATTTTGGCAATCTGAATTCCAAATGAAAGGTACATCCCTTTTTTAGTAAATTATTTAAAGGCATTGTTATGGTAGCAAATGAAGGTACAAATTTTCTATAGTAATTGCAAAAAGCAACAAAGCGTCTTACTTCATCGGCATTCTGAGGAACTGGAAACTTATCTAGAACTTTAGTTTTTTCTGGGTCAGGTGCTATACCACCAGCGGTTACTACATGACCAAGATATAAAATTTTCTTCTTTAGAAATTGACACTTAGCGGGATTTAGTTTTAAATTTACCTTCCTCAATCTTTCAAAAACGTCTATCAAATTTTGGTTATGAGTGGCTAAAGACCTTCCAAACGTAATAAGGTCATCTAAATAAATGAAACACTTCTCAAACGCTAGTCCTGACATTGCTATTGACATGACCCTACTGAAAGCACTACAGGAAGTTTTAAGAGCCATCGGTAAACGTTTTAATTGGTAATGTCCTGTACTAGTTGAAAAAGCTGTGTATTTTCTGCTTTCAGGTGCTAATTTTACTTGGTAGTATCCTTGTTGTAAATCTAGATGAGTAAAGTAAATTGAACCAGATAGTGAGTCTAAGATGTCTGTTATGTTGGGTAACGGAAATTTATCGTCTACAATGTTTTCATTTAATTTACGGAAATCGATTTCTGTGAGCTTTCAGACTTTTTAGGTACTAATAGTATAGGACTTGACCATTCGATAGAAGATTCGTCGATAATGTCGTCATCGAGCATCTTTGTTATTTGTTTATTTACTTCAGTTTTTAATGCATGTGGTAATCTTTATTGTTTTGTATATATTGGATTAGTTTTATTTTTTAATGCAATGGTATGTTCGCAAATATTAGTAGTTTCTAATTTGTCACCTGGTAAGAAGAAAATATCAGAATATTTAGAACAAATGCTTTCAATAGATTCTTTCTCTTCATTGTTTAAATGGTTAAGTTCTAATAAAGGTAACAAAGATTTAGCCCTATTGGAGCTACTTTTACATTGACCAAATTTAAAAATGTTATACTCTCTCAAAGGTTCCACATCTAAAGTAAAATTGTTTAATCTTATTTCCTCATCTCTAGTATTTAAAATCTTAATTGGAACGCGTTTATTTTTCGGTTGAACAATAGTTCCTGCCAAAAATACATCCTTTTCTATCTCTCTCGCGCACACAAAACAATCCTCTTCCACTTCCTTATTTAAATACACGTAATGTATAGACTCACTTCGAGGTGCGAGTACTAACGAGTTGCTATAATCAGGTTTATCGAAAATCGGTAAAATACAATGCTTACTATCAATTTTCAGCGTCAGTAAACTATTTTCTAAATCTATTTTAGCCTTATATCTAGTCATAAAATCTAATCCTAATATTCCATCAACGGCGATAGGTAAATTCTTGAAACTATAAAACTTGCTCGTAAATTTATCATATTTAGAACTGTAAATGTCTAAAATAACATAACTCGAAGCTTCGATTTTTCCTCCGATTCCATTTATTATTAAATTATTGTAAAATATTTCACTCGACTTAGGAATTTGTTCTTCCTTAATTACCGAAATAGATGCACCGGTATCTACCAGTAGTATAATCTTCCTATTCTTAACATAAAAATTTACGAATTTAGTGTTACCTCTACAAGCAAAAACTAAGTTATTAAGTCCGAAAAAACTGGTTACTCTCTCTCTCATCAGCTGGGTGTTCTACGTTTTCAGCAGTTCGTACTGGCCTAACATTTTGTAACGCTAATATTCTATTGTTAAAATTACCTTTCTTGTTGTTGTATCCCCTTCTGTTGTTGTAGAACATGTTTTGTCCTCTACCTCGCGGCGTATACTGGAATCTATTACCTTGATATCTATTAAAATTGTTATTATTATTTTGGAAGTTAGTACTTCTGTTGTTGTAATTGTTGTGGTAATTTGTCTGGAACCCTCGACCTCTGGTTTGGAATCTAAAAGAACGATTATTGTATCTACCTCGACCTCTAGGAAAAGATGAAATTTTCATTACCTCTGCCTGAGTAGATGACGATGGAGTGGATTCATCCTTGGCCGCTTGAATGGCTTCTTTTAGCGATGTGTAATTTCTAGCAGCTATAATCGTGCTTTACTTTTCATTTTTAAGTCCATCCGTAAATTTTTTAATCACCATTTTTTCATTAATTGGTTTCAGAACTGTACTTTTAGTGACGTCAGCCTGTGAAATATTCAAATCGGTTAATAGTTTTTCAAGTTGAGATCCGTATTGTTCAATAGTCCTATAGCCCTGATTCAGAGGCTGTATCTGATTATGTATTGCAGTGAAAGATTTTTTTGTCAATAACTTATTACGAAAATCTTGAATCATCAAGTCTACTGAAGTATAAGAATTGGATACGCGCAACTTAGCATTTTCTGATAGCCTGCTGGCATTGCTGGCCTTCACTACTAAGCATGTCTGCATACATTTCCACCGCATCAATCAATCGTTTCGTAGTATCTTCCCTATCATCTAAAAGAGGTATCAAGCTACAAGCAGTTTTCAAATCAAAATCCATCTTTTCTGATTTCATCTCTAAGCTGGGTGAAACACACAATTTCGCTATTTCTGCAAATAAAGAACAAATTTTGTCATATGTTTCAGTAATTAAAGATATTTCCGACTTATCCTTAATATTACTTAATGTAGAAAATATATCTTTACTATTATTTAAATATATCTCGGCTTCGTTCAACTTACTTGACGCAATAGAACCTTTATACCTACTTTGTCCTTTTTTTAATCAAATATTTCCTTATTTCTGACAATTGCTCATAATCTTTTATTATTTTCTCAGCCATAATACCATTAATTTCATATAGAAACTAAAGTTAACTTGCACTCGGTTCATATTTCATTCAATTGATTTTAATTTTATTCTAAAACGAAGCACAGTCATACAGTGTACCGATTACAAAATGCTGAATTGCATCTCCACCGATCGCAGCGGTCGGAATTCTTAGAATTAACACATGACAACAACTATTTTAAATGTTATAGAGAAACAAAATTAAACATGCTACCTAAATTTTACATAATTTTCGTAAAGAAGTTTATAAAATTACCAATGTCACTATAATTGTCACGTAAAAAAAGGGGTTTGTTTCACTCTCGTAAAAACTGAACGGAAATGCACTTTTTAGGAACTGCACTAATATAAAACACACTACGGTTTTACGCTGCTTGTCTGCTCACGAGCAGAGTCCATAAACAGGCGTCATCATGTGGATATACGGTGTGGGGGCACTCGGAGAAGTCACTGATCGCTCACTTATGTCCAGGGTTCAGTACAGGGGTAGGCCGGTTACGTAGATATACGGTGTAGAGGCACTCGGAGAAAGTAAGGCAACACAAATTTATACATCTTCTTCATTACGCGGTTCACGTCTGTTAGACAGTCTAGTGCGCATTCTTCTTAAAAATTCCGCATTAATTTTCTTTTCTACCCATTTCTTATATTTTTCTTTCAGCTTCAAAAATATGATAACAACCAGGACGATTGATGCCAAAATTAAAAATGTTGTGTTCAATATATTGTTAATCTTTATATGATAATCCTTTTCTTCTATTTCCACAGTATTGGTTCCTCCAGTTTGGGCAATCGTCGTTTCATGTTCTTCATTTCTCGAATTACTACTCCCCATTTTGTTTTTTGGCATGAACATGCGCATACACAGTCACAAAGTTAATAATTATATTCTTATTCATTATTATTACGTAGTTGCATTCACGAGGGGGTCCGCCTTTAGCCTGCACCTGGACACGCGCGCTTGGCATGGGTCGCCATGAATTATGTTATTTATAATGGAATGAAAGATCAACGTTTGTTCAACTCGAGTGTTTATTTAATACTGGCTTACTTTCTAATACATCGAATATCACCTACAAGTACATAGGTTACTTCAGATGCTTTTCGACAATCTTCAATTTAGATCGTTTAGCCTCCTTCCAAAATATGGATATCCTGGTGCAAATGTATTTCACTCTGTTCAGTAGACTATCGGATTCCACAATAGATTCCCTAAATAGGTTTCATCAACTCATAAAAGACTCTCCGAATCTTGTCTGTTTTCCACATGCTCCTTTTTATCGAGCTCCAAACGTCCAATAAACGCATACGAGTAAATGTGCATTTATAAGACGCACCTGGAAGAATTAATAACATTTTTTAAATAAAAAAATCATTTGTAGCATGTTCGTAGCACTTAAGAGATCTTCGACGCATGGGTGCTACGAGCTACCTAAAAAAGCTCAGAGCACTTTCGTGCACGTAAATTAGCTTAGATTAAAAACTATTAAAGAACATATCGTCACAAAATAAATCTCTAAAATTTTTAAGAACTTAGTTAAAAACTTACATAACAAAAATGAACTAAAAATAATACTATTTTTAATAAGTAATATAAAATTAAAAATATGGTAAATGATGTACATACCTTGAAAATCTAACTTCATTATAAACAATAATCACAGTGGCATTTTAGCCAGGATTGAATATCCTGGCAAAAATGCCACTGTGATTAAATATAGTGACCATAATGATTTCTTATATTTACGCGAACACTACACATTGAAATAATACTAATTTTTACGGAATTTATCGCGTATATTTAACTTTTTTACCCGACGTTTCGAGAGCTTTACAGCACCCATGGTCACGGGAAGGACTGAGATGTTCAACGTCCAGCTGTCATAGTTAACCGCGGTTACCATAGATTAAAATTTAACTTTTGTTCCGATCTACACAGTATGAACCTATGGTATCTTGGAGTCTTGCAGTTGTATGCTTGGGTTGGGATTTAATTTTATTTATTATAGGATCCCAAGCAGATGGTAGCACCCAGCCATCTTCTCTATTGAAATTAGGATGTTTTTTGATTTCAATAGCCTCGCGAATCATCCTTGGAAGGAATCGGTGTTCTTTAGCGAGGATTTGCGGTCCATCAAATCTGATGTAGTGACGGGGGCGATCCTGTACATGTTCACAGACTGCAGACTTCCCGGAGCGTCGATTCTTCACATCAGCTATATGTTCTTTGACGCGGGTTTTAATTGATCTTTTAGTTTGTCCTATGTAGGAGAGACCACATTCACAATCATAAGGGAAACGCCACGGTGGTCATGGATACGTCAGATTATAATTCTAAAATACAAGAACTTTTGTCGGATGTAAGTACTTATAAAAAGGTTAAAAACGACCCAACAAACAGCACACTAAAAACAACTAGTGACCTCATAAAGAAACACTCCGAAAAATTAAATCTGGACGTAAAATGGATAATACCTACGTGCGCCAAATCACCAAAGTTGTATGGGTTACCAAAAATACACAAGCCCAATGCTCCATTACGCCCCATAGTGAGCCAAATCGATTCACCAACTTACAGATTGGCTCAATACTTAGCGAAAATACTTTCACCGCTCAGGGGACATTCAAGAGTACACATAAAGGATTCCTACCATTTTGTCAGCGAGATTAAAGACCTACGTCTGGCAGACAATGAAACTATGGTCAGTTTTGATGTGCAGTCATTGTTTACATGCTTACCTGTTGAAGACTGCATCTCAATTGTAACTAGAAAGCTGGAAGAAAACAACATGCCCGTAGAATATGCAGTATTACTCAGACACTGCCTTACATCTGGCTACCTATTGTGGAAGGAGGAGTTCTACAAGCAAGTAGATGGTGTGGCGATGGGCTCACCTGTATCTCCCATTGTCGCCGACATATTCATGGAAGACTTTGAGGAGAAAGCCCTGCTTACTTCTCCCATAAATCCAAGATTCTACAAGCGGTACGTAGACGACACTTTCACAATTCTACCTTTAGATAAAGTAACTGCATTTTTAGACCATCTTAACTCTATAAATACTAAAATTCAGTTCACAATGGAGTTAGAGGCAAACAATTCCTTAGCTTTTCTAGATGTGTTAGTAATTCGGAATCCTGATAACACCTTGAGCCATACTGTGTATAGAAAAAAGACCCATACAGATAGATATTTAAACGGTGATTCTCACCACCATCCTTCACAGTTAGCTACCGTGGGTAAATCTTTGTTTCAGAGAGCACGAGGGATCTGTGACAGTAAACACCTGTCTGCCGAGCTCCAACATGTCAAGCAAGTTTTGCATGACAACAAGCTTCGGGTCCCGCGCCTACGTCACAGAGAACGAGTGAAGCCGGCCACAGTCGAGCGTGTACCTGCTGTACTGCCATATGTTAGAGGAGTCACTGACAAGATTGGCTACATCTTGAAGCGCGCTTCCATCAAAACATACTTCAAGCCGCCGAAGAAGATTGGTCAGTTTTTACCATCAGTCAAGTGTAACGTCCCTCTGCAAGATGCAGGAGTGTACAAGCTTGATTGTGAATGTGGTCTCTCCTACATAGGACAAACTAAAAGATCAATTAAAACCCGCGTCAAAGAACATATAGCTGATGTGAAGAATCGACGCTCCGGGAAGTCTGCAGTCTGTGAACATGTACAGGATCGCCCCCGTCACTACATCAGATTTGATAGACCACAAATCCTCGCTAAAGAACACCGATTCCTTCCAAGGATGATTCGCGAGGCTATTGAAATCAAAAAACATCCTAATTTCAATAGAGAAGATGGCTGGGTGCTACCATCTGCTTGGGATCCTATAATAAATAAAATTAAATCCCAACCCAAGCATACAACTGCAAGACTCCAAGATACCATAAGTTAATACTGTGTAGATCGGAACAAAAGTTAAATTTTAATCTATGGTAACCGCGGTTAACTATGACAGCTGGACGTTGA